TTTATTTGAGGGAGGGGGTGGGGGGGGGTAAACGATCGACAGAAATCTTTCTAAACTGTTTGAGCAAACAGGGAAAACATGCCATATGAATAAAGCACTGATTTGAAAAGATCTCCAGTAGGTGTTATGCAAAATTCCCATAAACATTTCAATGACCACATCCCTGACCACATCCCTCACTGCTTCCCTGGCCATAACCGCTTCCCTGACCGTAACCGCTCCCCTGGCCGCTTCCCTGACCCTGGCCGCTGCCCTGACCGGCCCTGGCCATAACCACTTCCCTGACCGTAACCGCTCCCCTGGCCACTTCCCTGACCCTGGCCACTTCCCTGACCGCTGCCCTGGCCATAACCACTTCCCTGACCGTAACCGCTCCCCTGGCCACTTCCCTGACCCTGGCCACTGCCCTGACCGCTGCCCTGGCCATAACCGCTTCCCTGACCGTAACCGCTCCCCTGACCGCTGCCCTGACCCTGGCCACTGCCCTAGGACACAGATAGTCAGCTTTAGTTTGTGCATAGACAGAACCTACTTTCAAACTTACTTTAGACGAGAACAACAAAAGGCTAAATTTATTATTATTATTATTATTATTATTATTATTATTATTATCGTCACTGAATGCTGAACAGTTCCATTCACTTAAATAAAAAAAAATCTTACATAACATTTTTCTGCTTAAACAAGAGGATCATTAGGGGCGGCCAGGGAGCGCGGTTCCTGCATTTGTAAATCAGGGGTTTCGCAATAAGTCTCAAACCTTAAATTTGACATTTATCTACTTCAAATCAAGTGTTTTAAAACCGATTACTCATTCCTAAACTGTTACTTTCAAAGACTGAGTGTCACTTATTTCTGCATTTCTTCAGGCTGTGTAATGAAGTCAACAGATCTTCTCACCTGCGGTTCGAGTAGCATCTGTTATGCTCAAGTATCCGAACAGACACAATAAAACAGCAATCAACGAGAAATACACTCGAGCTGTCATCCTCTGTCGATCTCTGCTGGAAAGTGCGCTGAATTGGTGCATCAGGAGAAGCGGACAGCGAAGCGCACAAATCTAAAACGAATAAACGTATCACTGCAATACCAACCTCTCTAAAACAGGGTTTTAAAGCTCCAAGGAGATCAGGTCAACTCCAACCCTGATCAAGCTCACCTGCCTGTAGTTTTCTAGTAATCTGACTGGAAGGCCTTGATTAGCTTGTTCAGGGGTGTTTGATTGGGGTTGGATGAGCTGAATGCTGCGTTCACGCCATGACATAATAATTAACCCCTTAACTGTCACCCATAGCCGCGGGAACGTCCCAGTCAGCAAATTTCCTCTGGCGCAGATCTGGATCATATCAACAGCTAAAGTGTGGCCCAGATTAGTTTGTGTTCGCCGGCCCAAAACTGGTCCACATCTTTTTAGCCAGAACTGAACCTAAACAGTGCCATAACCCAACCCAGAGTGAGCCAAATAATAAAAACAGATGTGGCTGATATATGGACCATTACTCAGTAAATCTTAAACACAATAATGGATTCACACTCATTTTTAAAATGTTTATTGTATAATTTTAATAACAGAATTACAATACAGAACATAACAGAAGTGTGCTATTTTGCAAATGTTTTAATAACAGGCTATTTTTAGACATAATACTTAATTATAATATTATATACATAATATTAATGAAAATATTAGTGTAATTGTACCTCAGTTTTGAAGTCACAGTTTCATACATTCATCTTCTCAGCACAGCTGGAAGAGTTATAATAAAAAAAGAGGACTGGATTAAAACTAGGGCTGCCCCGACCAGAAATTTTAAAAAAGGTAGCTAAAAAAGTAATTACCATGAATGTGTCGGGGGAAATAGTAAGGAGATATTTGAATTATTTATTAATAAATTAGTGTAAGAGCG